CTGTAATCCAAACTACTCAAGAGGCTGAGATATGAGAATCAGGAAAATGCCAGAAATGGAGCTGTAGGAGTGCACTAACCTTGAGCAAAAAAGCTCAGGAACAGCATCCAGCCCCAGAGTTCAAGCCCCAGAATTGGAAAAAAGAAAAGAAAAAGAAAAAAAAGAAAGAAGAAAAAATAAAAGAAAAAGAAAAAAGGAGGAAGGGAAGGAGGGAGGGAGGGAGGGAAGGAGGGAGGGAAGAGACTGACGGAGGGAGGGACCACAGCCCATTCTTCATCTTGAAAAAAATACTAATACAAGAAAATGAAGAGTTAACACTGCCAGCTCCAAAACTTTTACAACACCTGAATTAAGAATTTTATATGAACTATTTATAAACTTTTTTGTGTGTGTTTTTGTTTTATCAGTCGTGGGGCTTAAACTCTGGGTCTGGGTACTGCCCTCAGCTTTTCAGATCAAGGCAAGTGCTCTACCACTTGAGCCACAACACCACTTGCAGTTTTCTGGTGGTTTATTGGAGATAAGAATCTCACATACTTAGTATGTTCACAAATAAAAAAAAAAAAAAAAAAGAATCTCACATACTTTCTAGCCCAGGCTGGCTTTGAACCGCTATCCTCAGATCTCAGCCTCCTAAATACCTAGATTACAGGCATGAGCCACCAACGCCCAGCTATTAAACTATTTTTATATAAATTATTTTATATGAACTATTTTAAAGTGTTTGCAATTAACTCATTTGTTTTATACTGTATGCCCCATGCAAATATCTTGTGGACCAATTTGCATCATCAAATAGTCTTATTTAGGGGCTGGGAAGGTGGCTCAGTGGTAAAGCGCTTGCCTTGCATGCTTGAGGCCCTGGGTTCGATTCCTCAGCACCCATAAGCAAAAAAAAAAAAGCCGGAAGTAGCGCTGGCTCAAGTGGTAGAGCGCTAGCCTTGAGCTAAAGAGCTGAGGGGCATCGCCCAGGCTCAGAGTTCAGGCCCATGACCAGACCCAAAATAAAACAAAACAAATAGTCTTATTTAAAATAAAATATCTATAAATTTTACTCTAAGCTTTAATACATATAAATAGCAATATATTACAAATGTTATTATGTATCTGATAGAAATTCACTAATAAGGAAAGACTTTTACGTTTTCCAAATGTTAGAGTGTACTCCTGATCCAACAGTTCCATTTATAGAAATATGAGATTCACATAGAAATTATGACAGAATCATTTATTTCAGTAACACTTTTGTTGTTTGGGTATGGTTTAGTGTGCCTCAGTGGTCAATGTGTTAAGAGGTGTGGTCCTCAGTATGGCAATATTGAATCAACTGGCCCTTTGAGAGACTACTGGGGGAGGTGGTTAAATAAATAGGGGTGGTTCCCTCAAGAAATGATAGTTGTCATGAGACCTCAGTTCCCACAAAAGTGAGTTCTTAATTTAATGAAAAAGCAGCACTGACACACTGAATCTCTCTCTGACTTCCTGTCTCACTATGTGATCTGTTTTGTAGGCTCCTTGTATGCCATCCAACATGGAGATTTTAACAGAGGAAGAACAGAAAGAGTATTTTATCTTGGATTTCCAAAACTGGGAACAAATTAAGCCTCATTTAATTATACATGTCCAAACTCACATATTTTCGTATAGCAATGGAAAATTCTGACTTAGTGTCATTAGCTAGTAAATACTAGAGACTTCTCTCATTTTTCTTGCATTATTATCCTGCCCTAATTCATAAACAAGACCAACTGTCAATGTAAGTGATCATTTGATAATGGGAACACAGGTAACAGGATAGAACTAACTAACTGGAAGATAGGAGGTTACTTCTTTACTAGCACATAAAATATTAAAACATAGATTCTGTAAAGACCAACTAAAACCTATTATATTTCTTTTCATTCTTATTGGCAAAAAAAAAGACCAAAGGAGCTATTACAAACACTACTATGAAGATGGTAAGAACCATTTAAAGTTTTACATTTCATATTTTTACATTGAAAACATGTTGCTTTTGGACTCTGCCAAAAACCAAGATCAAACTGAATGAAAATAGCAAAATATTTATATACAAATAAAAATAAATGTTTTAATAAACTTAGGCACACAATAACTAGATTTCATTATCACTGAAAGAAGTAGTGTTCTTATATTACAAAATATTTTATTCTTTTTATATTGAAAAGTGCTAACAGCCAAGCACCAGTGGCTCACACTTACAATCCTAGTTATTCAGGTGGCTGAGATCTAAGAATTGCAGTTCAAAACCAGTTCAGGAAGGAAAGCCTATGATACTTTTATTTTCAATTTATCACAAAAGCTGCAAGTAAAGCTGTGGTGCAAATGACAGAGTGCTAGCCTTGAGCACAACAACTCAGGGACAAAGCCTTGGACTTCAGTTTAAGCTCCATTAATGGAACTTGAACTTAAAAAAAAATAGTAAATGTTAAATTACTACTACTACAGTATTCTTCTGAATATATAAATAACAAAAATAATGTTCAACTATCTAAATAAAAAAGTGTTTCTCAAAACAAAGCTAAAGAACATTATGTTTTGGTCACACAGATTCTAGGACCACAAAATGCTACGAAATACCATAAGACTTATGGGTGTAAGTCTGCCACTTATGGCTTAGTGGCAGTATTCTTATATGAAGCCCTGAGTTCTATCTACAGCATCACAAAATTTGAGGAGGGGAGAGATAATTCAATTCATAACCAAAAGTCCTTAAAATTTTAACACACATTTAGATTTTTACCTTCAAACAAAGTTCACAGAAAAGAACTTTTAAAATTTAAGATAAGCCCTTTGTTAAGAAGAAGGAAAGAAAGTAAACTAGGATTACTTAGGAGTTATTTTAATTAAAAGAACACTTTACTAAAGCTATCAACACTGAAGATATATTCTTGTAATAGGTTTATATGTAAAAGAAAATGTAAAGGTTCTAAAACTGAAAGTGATGACCTCTTAGTAAAAAAAAAAAAAAAAAGGAAAGGAAAAAAAAAGCATAGAATCAGAAACAGAGTCATGAGCCATTACTTTTTCTTATTTATTCTCACCTAGTTTTTACTGAGCCAATGACCACATCTATTGAAAAGTTAAAGACAAGTCAAACAAATGGTCTAAATGTCATAGAAATAGTATGACCTTCCCCTGAATAAGAGATGCTGAAAGGCTTAAATGAGAACACATGTAAAATGCCTATCAATTATCTAGGGAATAAAGGTTATACTTGTCTTCTCTATCCTTACCACATTTATTATCATCATTAAGTCTTATGCCACCTCAAAAGAGCGACCTTTGATAGTAGTGAAGTCTCACTGCTCCACAGTATGAGACACAGAACCAAGTATTTAGTAGTGGGATTTACTGATTTACTGAAGGATAGTAATAATGAACAGATGAGAAACAGAAGCTAATTGATAGGCTAAATGCATTAGTGTATTCCAGTGCCCTCTATATGAAAGGTTACTAACCCATCTCAGCTAAGTGCTTAAATTATAATTAAGTCTGATAGGAAGTCCTAGATTTATACCAATATAATTACAAATATTACTTAGCTTAGTAATACAGTATGGAAAGAACAATGAGATGAGTAATTTAGATGATACTGCAAAGTGGGTTTTAATGTCTGAAAGTTCTATTATAGTACACAGGGTAAGTGCAAATGGTGTAATTAAAACCTAAAAGAGGATCTGATCCTTAAAACACTGTTGTTCAACATCATTAAAATGCATGTTTTCTCAATTAATCCAAACTTTTCCATTAAAAACATAAAAATATACTTTCATCCCTTGCAAATAAATCTCTATGGAACATAGATGTAGAATCAAACATCAAATCATCATTACAAACAAGTAGGAAAAAATAAAAGACCTGGCACCGGGTTTGAACAGCAGAGTCTAACAAAAGGAAGAAAAGGCAAAGTGAAGACTGCCCCCTTTATGATTTGTAAGTTACCCAGCTGTAACTATAAAAGCACTGAAAGAGCTAAAAGACAACAAATCTCTGAACATACTTATTTAAATTATACAAATTTAAGCAAAATATTTACCTATGAGTTAATGCATATAATCACAGGCTTTATCTTACTTTAAAATTATGGTATTTCAATTTCCAATTTTTTTTCCTCACAGGATAGATATACAAAAAATTATTGTTGAACATGATCATTTTATTGTAGAAAATGTAGGTGAAGATTTCATGACATTGAAATGTCAAAAAAGTTTTGGGGACAAGATCACGAAAATACAAATGCGAAATTAGGCAAAACAAAATTAGACAATAAAGATCACACCAAGCCAGGTGCCAGTGGCTCATTTCTGTAATAATCTGAGCTACACAGCAGACTGAGATCCTGAAGCCAGCCAATGGTAGGAGCAGAAAAGATCACCAAACATTGGGAAGAAAAAGGGTTTGCCACTATTTTAAGCAAAAACTTACCATTTTATACATTTTTTACACCATATAATCAACTGTTCGTCATATAGTTTCAATTTTCAAAATACATATTAGTGTATAATTTTAGTTAATGTAATTATAATTATAATATAATTAATATATAAGAATGTTTATTTATACAGTTAATGTATATTTACATATAAAACAAAGTACCATCATTCTGAAAAGGCCTAAATATATATAACATTTGAGATAGTTGCTCAGAATCATTTTCCCTGATAAGCAATGAAATCAACCACAAAAATAGCAAAAATATTAAAATAGACAAACAATATACCCTAGATGATAACAAAGAAAAATTAAACCTACTACTATTTATTATAACACTAGTACCGATGTACCAAAAAACCTCATTCCACTTAAAAGCGAGAGGCATTAAAAATATACATCGATGGTTTTCAAAACTTTAGAATTTCAGTTTGAAAAGACAGCTGCATTCAATTTTTCTTAAAGCTGACATGCCTTATTATAATGATAATTAGTATTTGCTACATGTTTTCTCTGAAAAAGAGTTTTTAAGATATTACAATAGTTACCTGTCATTTATAATCCAGTTCAGACAGAGATTGAGAGAGCTAAGATTTTTGCACCTCTTGACAATTTCCATCACAGTTTCATTATCCAGTTCAGTAATATGACGTAGGTCCAAACTCGAAAGGTTTCTCAGCTAGTGATATAAATAAAATATTAAAAAGGTAAATTCTTTGTTAGTTTCAAAAATTATAATACAGTTTGTTACAAGGTTGAATATCACAGTATAAGATCTAGACACATAATAGTATGAAATCTTCTAATTAAACATTTTCATGAAATATTTTATATACTATATTAAAAGTGAATTGTAAATCTCTAGTAAACAAATGTATGAATGACAGCAAGCATTAACAGATTTCATTGAGGTATTATTAAAATCAAATACTTGCGATCTATTATCTAACTACTGTAGAAATTGTTTAGTGTTATGAAAAGTTCTACAATTTGTAAATTATTCACTTTCAAATGTTTATTTTAATGATCATATCCCTACTTACTTTTATATAGATTACCGTCCTTCCTCCCCTACTCTCTGTTTTTTGTGCTGGTATAGGGGTTTGTGCTGGTATAGGGGTTTGGAGTAAAAGATTTTGCATTCTCACTTGGCTTTTCTGCTCTATCACTCGAGCCACACTTCCAGTTCCAGCTTTTTACTGGTTAACTGGATGGAGATTAGAGTCTCAGATTTCTTTACCCCAGATGGCTTGGAACCTGGGTTCTCACGTCTCAACTTCTCAAGTACCTAGAGTTATTGGCATGTGTCCTGCTTGAGTTTTTGTGTGTGCATGTTTTTGTTTTTGTTGTTTTATCAGAGACAGCTTGGTGATATTTTATCAATGCTCTCAAAATTATTTTATTATGGGCATATATTTTACCATGAAATCATATAAAGCATTAAAGAAGAAAGATTTTTTTATTCTAGGTCCCACATTCCTTATTTCTTCATTTTCTTTCAATCTGCCCTGATGATTTCTATCTTCCCTAATGTTTAGGCTCCAAAAGCAATGATATTATTTTCATAAAAGTGACAGATCTCAACTATGCTTTTCAAATAGGAACACTGGCAAATAAATTATTTTTGCTTCACTATAGGAAAAGAATTAGTCTGGAGGAGTATGTTATATTAAATAATACTCTACAATCCAGCAAAATCTATCTATGTCCTAAGAGATTACCTTGCAAGACAGAAAGAATTGCACAGATATGATTAAAGTTTCAGATCTGGAGATGGAGATCATTCCAAATTATCCAAATAGGTCCAATCAATAAGAAGACTTTATCCAAGTAAAACCAGAGAAGTGATGGATGATCCACTTGAATCATGAGGAAGATTCAACCTGCCTTTTACAATCATCAGATATATAGAAGAGGGACCAAGGTCCTAAAGATCTAGTAATGAGCACTGGTTGATAGTAAATAAGAAATAAGGACCTATAACATTAAAGAACTTAGTTAAGTGAATAACCTGAAGGAGAAAATAAAAGAGAGAGAGAGAGAGAGAGAAAAGATTCTTTCTTGAACTTCCAGAAACAACAATCCAGCCAGCACCTCAACTATAGTTTGGTGAAATTTGTGTCAGACAGACTTGGATATCTAAATCAGTGAAATGATAAATCACTGAGATGTTGTGATCTGCTAAAGGAATAAAAAATACATTACAAAAACAACTGGAAGACAGGAAACGGCATATCCAGAACCTTGTGGGATCTCTCTGAAAACTGGTCTGACATTTCTATTCTACTTCAGCCCACCGACTTGTAGGTACAGCCCAACTGACAAAAGCCTCAGAGCAGTGAACAGCTACCTACATCTGCTCAACTTGAATCCCAAAAGAAAAGCAAACCCTGAAATCTCTATTGTAAATGTGCTGCCCAGAATGATATATACACTGCAGCACTGAATACTTCAGATTTGACTGGTTTGACAGGGGATGTAAGTCTCAATTTTAGTTTGATTTAAATTTCTTCATGTTTAGTTTTGGTACCTGTGTCAAGTGGTAGCTACACTAGTCATTGGAGGACTGAGAGACAAATCTGCCACACACCCAAACCCTCTTTATACCTCAACTCAAAAAAGAAAAACTGTACAGATACGAGATCCTACTCACTGCTCTGTGCAGTGTGGTGCAGAAGTGTGAAGAGAAATAGATACAGCCAAGCTATAAATTTAAAGAAAGTCCACAATAATAAGATTTTTAATTGAGACAACATGCTTCTGAAGTGACTTCTTCCAAGGATTAAATTCCGACCTTTTCTAAAAAGAGACAAAGCTGGTCAAAGTGACTACAGTCTATAACTCTAGTTAGTTACTTGGGAAGCAAAAGTTCAGGCAATCACAGTTCAAGATCAGCCTAGTCATAAAAGTTTAAAGGACTCCAACTCAATTAATAGTTGTTATTCCAAGCTACAGGGAAAGCTCAATGGCTAGGTACAGTGGCACACACCTTTGATCCCCACAAAATGGGGAAGCACAAATAGGAAGATATCAATCTGAGTTAGCCTGGACAAAAAGTGAAAATAACTGATGCAAATGGGAGTAATGGAGTTAACTCAGATAGTAAAGTGTCTTCTTACCAAGCATGAGGTCCTGAATTCTAACCCCAGTATGAGAGGGGAGAAGGAGAGAGACAGAAATAAACAGATAGATTGACAGATAGTCAGACAGAGTATAAATAAGCTAAGTAGCATTAGGAAAAACTCTGTATTAGTTTCTTAGGTTAGAAAATGTTTGCACAGCTCCTTGCTTTGCTCAATTCATATTGGAAACATGCTTCCATATGTATTTTTTTAAGCATAGATGTCTTTTCATTTTGCTCACAGTTTTATTTTCTACAAGGTTTGGCTCTAAGGCTAGAGAAGTGATTACCACCATTTCACAAGTCACATTTTCTTCCTCCTGATAGGGCAGCAATGAACTTATATGTGTCAAGGATCTAAGTTAAATTGTATATTTCCTCTGCTGAATTTTCTTTCATATTCCTTTTACTAAATTTTTCTCAGTAATGCTCCAGATACTTTTATCTTCCAACTAAAAATGTTCGTTTAAAATAAAAACACACACACATTATTTGTACAGTTACCAAAAACATCTAGCAAGGGCATTTTTTTTAAATCTCCACACCCAAAAAGTTTTTATCACTGCTGGAGAGGTACTCTTCGGGTAACATGCAAACAACCATGCAGCTTCTTTAAACTGAATAGTTGGACAACTCCTGGCTCATGTCCTCATAGCAGCCCCATTCTGACACCACAGCAAAGTCAGAAATAAATATATCAAATGGACCCACAGGACTTTCTGGAAAAGTACTGCATGACTATTAAACCCTAAGTATTAAGGATTAATGGTGCTGTTGTTTATCGAAGTATAAGTGTGAACTAACTATTCAATACTGTCTGGCACAATATACATGCAGTCCCACCTTATTTTCCCAAGTAGCCTTTGTGATAGGCCCCTAGCAAACCGGAAATTCATAAAAATTTGATCTGGCCACATAAATAGCCCATGTTTTGGTATGTTTTGGTATCTAGTGCAAAGGTTCTATGTAAATTCCAATATAGGTCTTAGCTTCCATCACAGGAATGTGTTCACAACAATGTAAATGTACCTAATATACAATTTTAAATTGTTAAAACAGTAAATATACATCTTACCACAATAACCAAAACATCACTTCATTAACCTAAGTGAAAGCACACAAGAAAATTTTAACTTGTTTGTACCAGTTGAGTCATTTATGGAAGAAAATTGAGGATCTGAGGCTGAAATAACTTGTTAAAAGAGTGAGTAATAGGAGGAGAGTTCTTTTTTATGTTTTTTATTGTAAAGATACTGTACAGAGGGGTTACAGTTACATGAGTAAGGTAATGAGTACATTTCCTATTGAACATTGTTATCTCCTCCTTTGTTTTTCCTCTACCATCCCTCCCTCCCCACTCCTCAGCTCCTCCCCGCTCCAAGTTGTAAAATTTGTTTTCAACATAGTGTCTTACACATCTCATTGTTACAATGGGTCAACCTGTACTCTTGTTTCAGCATTTTGTTATTTCCCTTCCCCTCCCCAAATTAGAAAAATGTATATACAAGATGCAGGGCACCAGAATCAAATACAGTGAAAACAGGAGTTGTATCATAGGGGAAGAACATATAAGAGAATCAAAAAATTCAGATAGTACATTTTACATGTTAAAAAAACAATAGCAAGAAAGAAAAAACCACTTGTGTCCCGTCTAGGGGTTTATTTCACTTAACATCATCTTATACAGTCATATGTACATAGCTTTTGACCTTTTCTGCTTGTCCTAGACTTATACTAGTTATTGCAAATAAGGGAAACCATGAGACCTATGTTTCTTTGGGCCTGGCTTACTTCACTTAATATAATTTTTTTCAAGTCTTTTCATTTCCTAACAAATGGGGCAATGTCATTCTTTCTGATGGGGGCATTAAATACCACATTTTCTTGATTCATTCATCTACTGAGGGGCATCTGGGTTGGTTTCATATCTTAGCTATGGTAAATAATGCTGCAATAAACATAGTTGTGCTGGTAACTTTAGTATGGCCTTGTTTGTGATCATTTGGGTAAATACCCAAAAGTGGGATTGCTGGGTCATAGGGGAGCTCTATGTGGAGTCTTTTGAGGAACCTCCATACTGCTTTCCAAAGTAATTGAACAAGTTTACACTCCCACCAACAATGCAATAGGGTTATGGGGAGAAAGTTCTTACCAAACCAAAATTATTTTACAGGCTTAAAAATTCTAAAGATATCTTTCTAGAACTAATCTACAGCAAGAAGTAGCAATCCAATAACTACTGGTAATTCAATAACTATATTTATTTGGGATAACACTCTTATGTTTTGTTGACCCTGTAATATTGAGAAACCCTATCCATAGATCGACTTATTGCAGTGTGGGTCAGATGGTGACATCAGACCATGTGTGGCTGTCAGTGCATCCATTATTCATTCATGGAACATGTTGGTTTGTTTGTTTGTTTTGGCAGTAGAAAAATGCATACACACATGAGGAAAAAAGTTTGCTTTGGCTGTCATATCCCAGGATTCTTGCTTGGCTCTTAATGAATATTTATTTGATCACTGCGATTCATTAGAGCTGACAGTCATTGACTA